AAGCAGACTGAACGATGGCCGCACTTTTTCTGGCCCGGTTGCTGACTGCAACCCGGCACTTTCTACGAAACAAACGCCTCGTCTATTTTGGTCTCCTGGCTTTCTGCTGTTTTATGGGCTGTGCTTTTATTCTGCGTTTATACCGTCGACACTGTCTATGTTTGGCCATCAATGGATAGGACCACTTTCTAGGGGGCTATAGCGAAACAGTACCTCACCGATCTGGAGAAAGTCATGTTAGTAAACCAAGAAGAAGGCACTCAAGAGGACAAGTAAAGATAATGGAAACGCACTGTTCAACATTAATTTAATAATTTTTCAGGTAAACAAATGAATTGTCAAAATCTGGAGGAAATAACATGAATGAAACCACACATATAAGCCGGCCTATCTCATGAAATGCTCACCGAAATTCTGACGCGTACTTTCTTAGCAGGGATTACTTAGGTGGGGTTGCCAGTTTGATTATTGTGAAGCATAATCGCAGTAAATTGCATTAACGCCAGGATGACAGCCTCCTTGAGTTCGCTGACAAAAACCACACTCCACATAGCATTGTTTTTTGTTTGTTGATTTTGGATACCATTATAATTTCAAATATATTTTACAGAAAACCTCCGCTAAATATTCTTCCTTGTACTAATTGTGGACCAAATTTTATCTTCTTCAAATTTTACACTAGAAGAAAGGGCATCTTTCACTCATAAAAACGATCCCGATTCCCGAATAATTTTCAAGATGCTAGAGTCGTAACCGTGGTGAATTGCCAACTGACGGGATAATTCCGTCTTCTTCAGGACTAGGAGTTAGGCCCCAGTGTCCCTCTTCTAATCGTTAACATCATGGCATCCTCATCTACGCGAGATTCAAGACGCCCTTGCAGTTGCCTGGTACATGCATGGCAGAACAAGTTGAGTGCGACACGCGCAGAGACGGGCTGTTTAGCTTTGTCAGCCACTATGGCCTATTCCGCCTCCACTGGTGTGCCATTGGAGCCCTGTGGACGAGGGAGGTGGAAGCGCGGCAGATGTTGCGCGTACGCTGCACGTCGTCGACTGCGGCGATCAAAATGATGTGTGTGTGTGTGTGTTTGCGTGTGCGCGCACAACGCTGACACAACGACAAACACCAGCCTCACCACCATCAACATCAGAGATGTGGTCTCGACCAATGCCTGTCCTCAATGCGATCGCACCTTCACTTCATACACCGGCCTGGTCGGTCACTTGCAAATCCATCGTGCAGAGATTGGTGAACCGGTCCACCGTACCGTCTTTGTATCGGCCTCAACTGCCCTCACTGTCCTCAAACATCCACTCACCGCATGGGCCTACTAGACCGCATGCGCATTCGCGAATACCCGCGGTGTATCGCCGTCGGTCATACCACACCATTACATCTTCCCTTACCAGCACCTGTAAGGCACACCAACACCACCCATCATTGCAAAACACAAGCACGCCATTGACACCTCTCACTTAGGTGGAAAGTTTGCTTTTCGGCACCTTCTCTATGCGGCTACTCTGCTGCATGTGTGGTCCGAGTCTGCGACTTTCACGTTGCGCCAAGAGCTGTGACCGGGAAGGTTGCCGACTGACGCCTCACATCAGTCCATGCAGTCAGCCCAGTTACGTGTGTTTGTGTGCAGTTGCGGACTGGTATGCTGAGAGCCAAACTGTCGCGGCTCCTTCCTAAGTGTTCTGTGACACTCACGCATGTGAGGAGTGCGTGTGTTTTATAGGTAGTGCCTCCCAGTTGACGACAGTTTGGTCGCCCAGCCCTGAGGGTTGACGGCCAGGCGAATGCAGGACCACGCGCCACCCTTCTGGGCCTAAAGGTCTGTAAGCATCTACTATGCCAGGGTTAGAAAACCATGGCACTCGCAGCCTTGTGTGTACTGGCAGTTCACCAACACCTAATCCCTTGTCGGCAGATGCGTTTGAGCTCCTGCTGTGTATACAGGTGGTGGGCATGGTTGCCCAGTCATCCTCGTCATTCTGACCCATTGCAGTGCTACTGTTATTGGTAAAATACTGGTCATTTTTTGTGTGGACCAGGGTGTGGAGTGGAGTGCCAAGGTGCGGGTCCGACCCTGACATCCACAGCCGCTCCTCCCAACCTCGAACTTATTGACTCTCTCAGGACACTGGGTCCAGGTGGGTGAGGAGGAGAGAGTGTAGTAGATGGAGCGCAGGTTTACTATCATTACAAAAAAAATCAGGCGCAAGTCACCGCGCCTACTTCAACTTTCTGAGAAGAACACGGGGAACATCGCCGGCAAGGACGATCGAAATGTCGTGTGCGTATGTGTGTGGTTCACTTGTGCCCTCAAAACGGGCCACGTGTTAGATGCGCTGGACCAACACGGGGGCCACATCGGACTCTGGCAGGCGTTATCTTTGCGTAATAACAAATGCCAACATTTGCGGGGTGCGCTGGCGGACCCTGTTGTCGGCATTCGTCGCACAACTGGCCCTGCCACCACCCCATTGTTTTGTGGTCAAAATCCTGGTCATTTGTGTGTGGACCAGGGGGTGCGGAGTGGAGCGCCAAGGCGAGGATCCGTCCGAGCCATCCACCTGCGGCCTCCCCCGTCTCCGGTCTTCTTGACTTGGTCTTGACACCGGGCCCAGGCGGGGGAGGAGGAGAGAGTGTAGGCAGATGCAGCGCAAGTCTACTGGCACTATAAACCCCTGCGCAAGTCACCGTCCCTGCTCCCACAATGCAGTCTGTGGGGCACACGGTGGTCATCGTCGAAATCGACGGACGAACTGTCGTGGTTCACTTGCTCGCAGGTGTTGACTACGCCTATCATCCATTAATTGGCACCGAACTCTCACATGTGGCTCCCCGAAGCTAAGCTCTGCCTAGCGGCCGCACTCCGGTAGCCGCCTCGACCGGCGGGCTAAACCTGATGAGGATATCCGTGTGTACATCTACGCACACGTTAACTCAGCTCCGCTAGCCGGATGGATCACCGCCTAGCTATCTCCGAGATGAGACTCCATTTGCATCACTGCATGAGGCCGCAAGGTAACTGAGCCCCCAGTTATGCCAATATTGCTCTTCCGTTTTTGCTTTGCTTTGCTTATTCTTGCTTGCCTGCCCTTCGTCTGCTTGTTTGTATTTGTGTTTGCCCTTATTGAAAGTTAAATGCTGTTCTATTGAATTTGTCGCTTGGGAACTACTTAGCCTAGAGAGGGACAGAAAAGCTCTGCTTCTCGTCTCTCTATCCTTCCCCCTCTCCCCCTTCAAGCTTACAGCAATGTCGTAGGCAGGCCCAGGCCAACTCTGGTCGTTCTCTCACTAAACAAAGTCGTGACCCATAGTGGAGCTCGGCAGCTGTCTGGGACAACTGAGCAATCCTATTTAGGGAAGGCACTGCTCACCCCGCGAGGGGGAAGAAGTTAGAAAAAGTGCCCTAGACAAATGCTGTGGACACATGCCGTCTGCAGGCTGACCGTTGCTTCAGACGCAAAACTCACGCTCGAAACAATCAAATCCGAAACAATACTCTCTCCTCTCCCTCCTCCTCCTCCCCGACGCCCCACTCGCCAGTCCGCTCACTATGGCAGCCTGGAATATTCGTTCCCTTTTAGAAAATCCGAGGAGCAACCGACCGGAACGCAGAACAGCGCTAGTGGCTCGGGAACTGGCGCGCTACAAGGTGGGCATCGCCGCACTCAGCGAGACTCGATTCTCCGAACAAGGCCAACTGGAGGAGGTGGGTGTCGGTTACACTTTCTTCTAGAGCGGTCGCCCCAGGCCAGAACGACGAGATGCGGACGTCGCCTTTGTCATCCGGAATGACATCGTGGGACGACTGCCCGATCTGCTATAGGGCATCAGTGATGTGGTGAAGTGTTTGGTGGACCAGGTGCGGGCTCGGCCATGCCATCAACCTGTGCCCTCGCCCTCCTCCGATCTTCTTGACTCTGTCTTGACACCATGTCCAGGTGGGTGAGAAGGAGAGCGTGTAGTAGATGCTACACTTGTTCATGCGTACGTCACTGTGCCTGCTTTCATCCTGAGATGGTGCACTCGGTGAGCATCGTCGGGCACGACGGTCGAACCGTCTTGTCTTTGCATATGTTGAATACTCCTAGCATCCAATAACTGGCGCCAAACCCTCATACGTGGCTCTTTGAAGCTAGGCTCTGCCCAGCGACCATTCCCCGGTAACCGGCTAGACCGGCGTGGTAAACAAATTGAAGGTGACCACATACGGCAACTCTGTCCCCATTCCCCTTGCCCCCTTCTCTCCCTCCCCTCATTGCACCCTCTACCTTCTTTCTACTCTCTCTACCCTCTACTCTTTTCTCCCACGATCGAAAAGTCCCACGGCGAGTGTGACATGCAATCTCGTTGGCGGTCCAGACCAAGCGGGTAGTTCTCTCACTAAACCTAATGATTCATAATGGAAAGTGGCAAACTTCTGGGACGGCTGAGCAGCCCTGGTTAGAGACAGCACTGCTTACCCACACAAGGGAGTGGGAACTATAAAAGGTACTATAAACGAGGCTGGGTTTCCGACATTTGCACGCAGACCATGGCTTCCAGACTGCTTAACTTGCGGTAGAAATCAAAACACGAGAAAAAATAATCTATCTTTTCCTCGTCCTCCTCCTCCTCACCCTTCTTCTTCTTCTTTTTCTTCTTCTTCTTCTTCTTCTCCTCCTCCTCCTTCTCCCTCCCCCGCCCTCATAGGCTGCTGGGATGAATCCGCTCACTCTGGCAACCTGGAATGTCTGCTCCATTCTAGACAATCCCAGCAGCAACCGACCGGAATGGAGGACGGCACTAGTCGCTCGGGGATTGGCGCGCTACAATATAGACATCGTTGGACTCAGCAAAAGTCGTTTCTTTAAGGCAGGCCAACTGGGGGGGGGGGGTGGGTACCGGGCATACCTTCTTCTGGAGCGGTTGCTCCCAGGCAGAGCGACACTACGCCGACGCCGCCTTTGCCATCTAGAACGACATCGTGGGGACGACTGCCCTATATGCCGCAGGGCATCAACGACCGACTGACGACCCTGCGCCTGCCTCTCAGGGGAGGCAAATTCGTCACCACAATCGACGTCTACACTCTTCCGACAACCAGCTTTGACGTGACAAGGAGCCAATTCTACGAGAATCGGAATGCACTCCTGGCGACTGTGCTGAAGGAGGACAAGTTGGTCGTCCTCGGTGACTTCAACGCCCGCACCGGGACAGAATGTGTTGCCAGGAGTGGAGTACCGGCTGCCTACGACAATGACCTCCTCCTCCTCCTCCTGCAAACGTGCGCTGAACACCGTATCCTGCTGACCAACGCCTTCTGCAGCTTGTCACTCCGGAAAAAGGCCACTTGCGTGCACTCCGATCGCTGCGCTGGCAGATGCTGGACTATAATCTCGTTCAGTGGCAAGATCGACAGGACGTGGTGGTGATAATGACGCTCTGCAACGCCGAAGGCTGGACGGACCACAGTTTTATCATCTCCAAGATGAGGCTATGTCTGCAAGCGCGCGGGAGACCACAAAATTAGCTGAATACCGCCCTATTTTCTTTGCCTGCTCACCGTATGCATTTCAGCAATCAAGCGATCCAGCAGCTGAAAGACCTGTCAGCTGCAGATGCAGACGCTTCCATGGACACTCAATAGGGCCAACTACGGGATGCCGTCCATTCGACCGCCCTGGCTGTTCTCGGCCGCGAACGTCGCCAGCACCAGGACTGGTTGGCAATAGTGATGTCGCCTGCTCGCCGAGAAGAAACGCTTCACAGAACCTGCCTCGGTCGCACAACCGACCAGAGCCAAGCAGCCTTTTTCGATAGAAATGAACAGACGAGTTCCAGGAAGCAGTTCAGAAGACGAAGATGCGATCACTGGAACAAGAAATTTATTGGCCTGACATTTAAATTCACAGTCGAATCCATCATCAGAGACAGTCGCGGATATGGGTAATGGTGGCACAAGGAGTGCAGTATTTATAGCACGTGGCTGCCGTGGGACTGTATGCGCACTGCAATTAACAGTTCTCGCAATCACCGCTGGGGTCGTAATTGATGCGACGATGGTTTGTCAGTCCGCGTCCGAGTCGTTAATGGCCGCGATTTCGTCATCTGTGTTGGATACTGGTGTGACGATTGATCGGCAAATTGGCTCACTGTCAGTGGGATAATTGCTCGCGCCCGTCCTCCCCACGTGGCTGGTCCGCCTGCCCACGGGAAATCTCAGCACGGAATATGGTAACGGGAGACCATTGCGTTTGTTGATGGATCGTGGGCCGGAGAACCATGACTCGAGCAGCTCGCGGCTCACGTTTTCGTCACCCATTGCGGGGATTTCAGCTTCTTGAAACTTGTAAATATGGCCGGGTCCCGCTGAGTGAGCCGCCACCTGGGTGTCAGCGTTTCCCCGCCTCACGCAGCAGCAGCATCAGTCGGCTGGAAAATCCTTTCTGGAATCTTCACGGTTTCTAAATGAATATCAGACTGAAGATGTACAAGGCTGTCGTCCTGACAACACTTCTGTACGGAGCGGATACCTGAACCGTCTACTCTAACCATGCCAAGAATCCCAACCACTCCCACTTCAGCTGCCTTCGCAAAATGCTAAAGCTGATATGGCAAGACGGGATCCTCGACATGTAATTCCTAGAACGGACCGGAATCTTCATCCTTCATCCAATGTTGATGCAACTGCAACTAAGTTGGAGCGGCCATCTGGTGAGGACGGAAGATACACGTCTGCCGAAACGACTCTTCTACAGTGAGTGACCTATCTCATGAAATGTTGGCTGAAATTCTGAAATGCGTTTTCGATTAGGAAGGATTACTTGGTCGCCGTTGTAATACTGATTATCGTAAGACATACTCTTATAACATTTCGAACTCGGCAGGATGTCGGCTTTTAAATAGACTTCTTTTCAATCTCCTGTAGAAAGCGTACTTGGTAAAAAATGACTACTTAAGTAGCATGCATTTTCCCACTGATTTTCGATGGTCTTGCAAATTCAAATATATCTTATTGGAACCATAAACGAAAATATGCTTTCTTTTAGTCAATCAGTAGTCAATCAATCGCGTTTTCTTTATATTTTATACTTAAGAAAGGAGTATAATTAGGTTTTAAAAAAGTTTTTAATTATGAGACTTTTTAAGACCGTGAAATGCCCATTCACATAGCATCGTACCTGGCCGTTTACCACTGCTCCTCATGAAATGTACAACATGGTCCGCATCCATTGCGAAATTTTATGGACTCTGTATGATATCTCTTTAATGGCACAGAAAAAATATATGATTTCCTTTACGCGGAACGTAGGCACCTTGAAGAATGAAATCACTAAGCGCTAATGCAACGAATGATCAGCCTCCAAATTTTTCGGCAATTAGAAAACTTTTTTAAAACCGAATTATACTCCTTTCTTAAGTATAAAATATAAAGAAAACGCGATTGATTGACTATTGATTGACTAAAAGAAAGCATATTTTCGTTCATGGTTTCTATAAAATATATTTGAATTTCCAAGACCATCGAAAATCAATTGGAAAAATGCAAGCTGCTTAAGTAGTCATTTTTTACCGAGCACGCTTTCTACAGCAGATTGAAGAAAAGTGCATTTAAAAGCCGACATCCTGCCGAGTTCGAAATGTTATAAGAGTTTGTCTTACGATAATCAATATTACAACCGCGACCAAGTAATCCTTCCTAATCGAAAACGCATTTCAGAATTTCAGCCAACATTTCATGAGATCGGTCACTCACTGTATGATGATGTCACCAAGGGTATTCGTCCATAAGGAGGATAAGCACGACGCTACAAGAACACCGCGAAGAACTTTGTAAAACGACTGCAAATCAACCCGGCGACCTGGGAGAAACTCGCCCAGAAAAAGCCGACATTGCGTAGAGAAATGAAAATCGGTGGATTCATCTTCGAATCCAATTGGATCGCCGCCAAAGCTAAAAGGGAGACCCGCAAGTCATAAATGTCTCACCTCGTCAATGCCAACCGTCAGCCGCTTCAAACATGTCCGCATTCCGCACGCGAATCGGTCTCGTAGGCGGCCTTCGGACCCGATGTGCCAACAGTCCAACGATGTCACCCGCACTTCCTACTTTCTCCCCTGCTGCAAACCCCGCCACGACGGCCACTTCCGTCACCGCCGATCACACTGTCGCTGTCCCACTGCCATCGACCACCGACATCGCCCACCCTGTCCCAACAACTGCGTCGACTGCAGCGACAAGTCCCGTCAACACGACGAACTCCCACACTTCTCGCCGATGAGACGTCATGCGACGCCCCGTCATCACCATCCCTCTCCTCATTGAGGTCTCACATTCCTCTCACACACTGGCGTGGTCGACCACTTACGAATCCATCGTACACAGGCTGGCAAACCAGTACCTGGAGCATCCACGCACACTCATCGCATCCGCCTGAACTGGCCGCACTGCCCTTGAAAATTCAGCCACCACATAGGCCTACTTGGCCATATGCGAATTGATGGAGACTTGCGGTTGGCAACCTCCGGTTATACCACACCATTTCATCTTCCCCCACCAGCACCTGCGTTACCCATCGACATCATCCATCGTCACACGAAGTAAGCAATCAATTGACACTTCTCAAGTAAGTGAGAATTGTGCTTCTCGGCTTCTTCTCCGTGTGGCAACTCCGCTGCATTTGTAATCCAAGTCTGTAACCGTCGCGGTGCACCAGGCGCCAGGGCTTGGAAGACAGCTGACGGACGCTCAAATCAGTCCATGTTGTGTGCCTAATTGTGTCTGTTTATTTGGGGTGGCGAACTGGGCGCCTGAGGATCAGACTGCAACGGCTACTTCTGAACGTGGACTTTAGCACTCGCACACGTGCGAGGAATGTGCGAGTGTGTGTGTGCCCTCCAAACGGGCCACGTGTTAGATGCGCTGGACCAAGACGGGGGCCACATCGGACTCTGGCAGGCGTTATCTGTGCGCAATAGCAAATGCCAACATTTGCGGGGTGCGCTGGCAGACCCTGTTGTCGGCATTCGTCGCACAACTGGACCACTGCCACCACCCCATTGTTTTGTGGTCAAAATCCTGGTCTTGTGTGTGGACCAGGGGGTGCGGAGTGGAGCGCCAAGGCGAGGATCCGTCCGAGCCATCCACCTGCGGCCTCCCCCGTCTCCGGTCTTCTTGACTTGGTCTTGACACCGGGCCCAGGCGGGGGAGGAGGAGAGAGTGTAGGTAGATGCTACGCAAGTCTACTGGCACTATAAACCCCTGCGTAAGTCACCGTCCCTGCTCCCACAAATCAGTCTGTGGGGCACACGGTGGACATCATCGAAATCGATGGTCGAACTGTCGTGTGTGTATATATATTTATTTATTTATAGGCAGAATAGTATTACCGACAAAGACAAGGGAGACTGGAATGGCCATTTCTGGCTTATTAGCCGTCGTCAGCCTGCCATACCCAAGCCCGAAATGTGGAACACCCGAGCCTCGAACTCGCGAACTGTTGGTTTAGAAGTCCACGCCTCTACCCACCGGGCCACGAGCCCGTTGCCCTGTCGGTTTTCGATCGGGAATATACAATGTTAGGGGGCGCTCACCGATCGTTCATACGGAACTCACTCGTTCCGTTGTGCCTCAAAGGCTCTCTCTCGAGCCCAACCAGCAGCCGCACAGTAGTGTCTCCCAGTCGGTGACTAAGTGGCTACCCGGCCTTTGAAGGACGATGGGACAGATTAAATGCAGGACTGTGTCTCAAACTTCTGGGCGTCTGCTATGCCATTATTCAGCTCTCGCAGCCTGGTGTGCGCCGGCAGTTCTCTGGCACTTGATTCCCTGCCGGTAGATGCACTTGCGCTGCCACTGGGTATACAGGTCGTGTGCTCGGTGACTTGTTTTATCCTCCTCTTTCTGCGCTAGTTTTGTTGTTGGACTAGGGGGTGTGATGGTACGCCTAGATGCGGGTACGGTCGTGCCTGCACCCTCTCCACCTCCGGTCATTTTGACTCTGTCTTGACATGGGACCCAGGTTGGGAGGGGGAGAGAGTGCGGTAGATGCTGAGCAAGTCTACTCTCACTACAAGCTAATTCACGTGCAAGTCAACGTGCCTGCTTTTACCCTCCTGTGGGACACACGGTGAAAATCACCGGGTACGACGGTCGAACTGTCGTGTGTGCGCGTAGTTTATTTTCACAGTCTCCGACTGTGGTTGCATTCAGCCCACTCAGACGGCGTCTTTTCACCAAATCGGTGCAGTTGGCAAGCAGGTTACACCCGATTTTTGACCTTTATATGTCCTGTCTTCCTCTGCTAGGGCCGAAGCTCTTATTCGCCTAAAAGCCTTGACTTTCGTCGCCATTACATGCAGCATGTCGTGGCCTTAGACCAGAGGCATAACTCGCCTCTAACTGCGTTTAGTTTTCCGTTTTCGAGCAAAG